GAATTCCTAGTCATTTCGCACGAGCCCCGATCCACCCCACGCCTCGGATAAAAGCAGAACAATGTCTCGGGCACTTTTTACGGAGATTTGCAAAGATAAAAAGACAAGGGTAAATTCTGAAAACGAAAAAACAACAGGGTCACGCAAAGTCATAAGGCCGATGCGACCTTATTAAATCAAATTTAAAAAAAGAGACCATCCATATCCGCGCAAAATTCTTCGTACCACGTTAACGAGTCTCCCCGATCACATTTAGACCAAATTACCCTAATTTTTCCGATTCCTTTGTTTCCACATTCTTATCTTACCCAAAATTTCATCTCGTGGTCCAACCGTCACGCATCAATGAAAGAGGTAACCCGATGTCGCATATGTCGACCCACCGAAATTACGCCCTGATACAAATGGTACTCCTTAAAAAAAAATTAATTTCTCAAAAAGATATTTCAACCCCTAAATAAATCAGTAATGCCCTCCCCCCGCCCCTCGTTAGTTACCAAGACCTAAATAACAAACGGTCCCTCCTCCTAGGGTACCGTAATGACAGATCAGGTGGACCCTGGCAAAGTCTACAGACCTTTATAGTATACCCAGAGAACGTGGTGAGTCGTCAGCGACGCACGGCGGCCAAGGGGAGAAGGTAGTAGCAAGGACTCCCATGGAGCAGGAACGCAGAGAGTTACCGAGGACGTAGAGGATGAGGTTGTACGAGGTGGACATGGTCGTGGAGGAGGTGGGACGGGTGGGAGCGTGGGTCGTAGACAGTTGAAGGGCCGCGGCCAAGGTGAGGCGAGATCGCAGGAGAGCAGGAGAGAATAACCAAGTGAGGGGACGGTTCGTGAGAGTGAGAGTTTATGCTGGAAGCACGTGAGGTAGAGAAAGGTAGATGGGTCTGTATGGATGAGTGGTGTACGAGGGTGTATGCGTGAGAGAGAGAGAGAGAGAGAGAGAGAGAGAGAGAGAGAGAGAGACAGAGAGAGAGAGAGAGAGAGAGAGACAGAGAGAGAG